CTTAAACATTTACTATGATGTCACGAGCCGCCTTACATACAACCCCTTAAACATTTACTATGATGTCACGAGCCGCCTTACATACAACCCCTTAAGTATTTTAGTACTAGAATTTAATCGCAAGAAGTACGCTACCATTCAGTCAAATTTCATTCATTCCACATGAAATTACATCACAGCTCATGAATATATATTTATAGATTAGTGGCTATGGGTTTTGAGGGTACAGTGAGTTAGAAGATTTAATCTACATCTTGGTGGTATTTAGAATCTTAATAAGAAGATAAGAATACATAACAGTACTAAAATACAAAACAACAGCCATACAATTGCAAGATAAACTGCTTCAAACACTCTGTGCTGTATGAAGAATGGCATTGTGTAAGAAATAAATTGAAAAATAGAACAGAGTATAAATCTGCATCCCAGAGGTCCCCAGCAAAGGAATTATCAGAATAAGATGAGGTCAGTCAAGGAATAGTCCTTAAAGCAAATGAGTTTTTTGATTTGACTCTCAAGAGAAAAACTGAACGTAAACTGCTGAGCTGGACCAGGGAGCATTTCAGAGAAACATACAGCAGAGAGAGATGCAGTAGCAGATAGAAAACACAGGCCAGGGCAAGAGTCATTGTCCCTAGAATCTCCTAGAATAAGATTTGGTTTTACCAGGCCAACCTTCCACCATGAGCAGAAATTCTCCCTGTAACCTTCAGGATGAGACTGCCCTTGAGGACAGTCATAAAGCCCCTTTTGTGTGTACCTTTTGCACCTTTCCCAAGGCAGAGCAAAGCACAGAAAATGGGCTCACAGGCCCAAGTGCGGGGGCTCACAAGCTCCCCCATCTCCTACACTGCATTTCACAGGCCAGCTTCCCTCACCCAGAATGCTGGAGGCCCCAGCCTTTCAAATTAGCCAAACTCCAGGGGGAACCCCTCCCCAATCTCCCAAGCAATCTGCTTACCATGAGCCAGTGATTAACCTCATTAACACACGTGTTTACCACAGATGGCATTAGCAGTCAGTCAGACAGTATTAAAAATGACAACCATTACCTTGTTCAGTGCTTACCGTGCCTGGCCCTCCCTAGCCCTAGGCCTCCAGGAGCTGCTCCATCACACATCTTAGTCAAGTTGGAAACTGGTCAGGCGTTCAGAGCCCTTGTTCTTGGGTGCCTGGAGGATTATGCTCTTGGGCGGGCCAGTTACTGAATATCGCAGTCCAGGGAGTCCTCAGGGAAGAGCTCTAAAATCAATTCTAGAAACCTACAAGGATCCCTGGCTCAGTGGTTAAGAGCGCAGCTGCTAACCAAAAGGTTAGCAGTTGACATCCACCAGGTGCTCCTTGGAAACCCTGTGGGACATGCCACTCTGTGCAGTAGGGTTGCTATGAATCGGAAGCTACTGGATGGCAACAGATTTGGTTTTTGGAAACCTGCACGGCAGAGCTCTGAATTGGGACAATCAAAATAACAATTCCCTGTGCCTCAGCTCCCTCCCAGAAACTAATTAATGCCATGGATGTGGCTTGCTAATTATTTCAAAGCCATCACCATCCTGAGAGGTCCTGCTGGAGGCCCCTGGCCTCTGTGAAGTCTTCCCTGAATCAAGTAGCCTCCGCTCTCCCTTTCCTGGGAATGGCGGGTGCATTCAGAGTCTAGTTATTCCCAAAGGATTTCAATGTGTTTATGTCAACTCCAAGGGCTAAGCGAAATTTTTCGAACTAGCTACAGGGGTTCTCAGCATGGGGTCCTCAGGTTCCCAAGGAGGCTGTATGGATAGAAAGTAGGAAGTCTGTGAACATAGATGGGAAAAAAAGTACATGTTTATTTGTACTAACTTATAACTGAAAATTAGTATACCCATCAGTATTGACCCTACCAGTTGCAACTTTGTCCTGATGGAAATCACAGATATTTTTATATCACATTTCAGTTATTGTAGATATTTTGAAATATCCTTCACACTCATCACTAAGTCAGAATTTTGGAGCTTATTAGACCCTCAGACATCCCTGGGTGGTACAAGCAGTTAAACACACAGCTGGTAATTGAAAGGTTGGAGGCTCAAGTTTACCCAAGAGGTACCTTGGAGGAAAAGCCTGGCAATCTACTTCCAAAAACTCAGCCATTGAAAACCCTATGGAGCACAGTTCCACTCTGACACACATGGGGTCAACATGAGTTGGAGTTGTGCTATGGCAACTGTTTTTTTGTTTGTTTCTTTGTTTTTATAAGACCCACAATACAATCCTGTTATTTAATACATTATATTAATTTATTATAAATTTATTTACTATATTAATAACTATTTCAACATAATTGGTCTCCTGTGTCATCCTGTGTATTGTATTGTATGCACTCATTTAAAAACATTATTCTAAAAAGGAGTCCATGATTGTACGGTACTTCCAAAGGTATTCATGGCAAAAAAAAAGTTAATAATCCTCAAGCAAGATGCACAGCAGGTGCTCAGTAAATCTTTGCTAACTGATTTTTTTTTTTCAATTCTTGAATCTCTAAGTATGTTTATATTTGTTTGCCTTTCCTCCCAACCATCAGTCTAACACCAAGGAGTTAGCCTTCAGCTTTTTCATGAATTGCTCTATGTTTTCTGTTTTGCACATTTCAGGTTCTTATTTTCTACCACTGTCCCTTCTACAAGCAATACCCCTTCCTGTGGCCAGGAAAGAAAATTCCAGCACCTTGGGCCAATACCACAAGTGTGCGCAAACTAATTCTCTTCTTGGAGACCACTCTCAGTGAGCGGGCCCCACGTGGCACCTTCCATGTTTCCCAGGCTATTCTCACCCCCAGAATGAAGACCATCGCCCGAGGCCTAGTGGGTGGCCTCAAGAATACTCTGGTTCATAGGTAAGGATTTGCTTCCATCTCACAAGTAAACTTTTTAGAAATTTAGCTTCTTTTCTGAATAAATAGCTTTCCATTGAGGTGGATTGCATTAATGGTGCCCAAATGATCTCTAAACACTTTCTTAAAATGTATATACTATGCCATAAGTATTTTACAAATTTTGATACTAATGCAAAGCACTCTAAGCCAACACTATGTCTGTTCACTTCTGACCCGTGGCCACATCATGTTCTTGCCCCTGCCCTTGCAGCTTGGAGTTTCATTCGAGAAGCATCAAATACAGACCTCTGTGCTAGGTATTGGGATTCAGAGACAGCCCTTCAGGTATTTGGGGTATCTTTTTCCCTTCTATGGTGACACTGACTCCTAAGAAGTAACTTTAGATGCCACCCATCATGCCATGGCTTTCAGTACTTCCTCAGAGCTGAGTCAAGCCTAACTGAACAATTAGGCAGAAAAAGCTTCTGTTATTCTGTATTAGATTCTGGTCTTTATCCTGGTCACCAATGAATGATAGATGCTGCCAAGAAAAAGGTTGGTTTATGCATATGTGTATGTGCATGTACATGGCATGTGTCCATGTATATGTATATATATAAAGAGAATGTTATAAATACATTCATATAATAGTGCATTCCTCGCTATCCAAGCTCAGAAACCTAATAAATTTGGGTAGCAAGAGACATTTACAAGGATCAGTTTGGTTCCTCAGTTCCAAGTGGGGAGCACAACAGGAGCTGAGATGGTGAAAGATTCATCCAAAATGTGACCCTATCTATTTGGTTCTGAGTTTGGATAACATGAGTTCAGATCACAGGAACTCAGCTAGCAGAAATTTGGCTAGCAAAAGGCACCTGTATTTTTCTTTCATGGTGAGGGCTACCAGTTATGCCTGGCTCTACCAAGTCTTTAACTGAACTAGTTGTGCTGAGCTTGGAAAAGAGAATGTCATAAACTAGTAGTATATCTTTTTGAAAGATCCAGAATTACAAGCTTTTTAAAAAAAATTATATGTTCATGTATCTCCACTGTTTTTCTCATACCTTTTGGTAAATTTGTAGATTAACATTATTTATTCATTCATTCAGCAAACATTAAATAGCTAGGAGGAGCTAAGTCCAAAGATACTGATGAATAATATGGTCTCTGCCCTCCTAGCAGGAAAAGCAAACATGTAAATTTCTATAAAGCAATGTAAAAAATCACTATGATAAAAGTGTGTGCAGAAATATGTGCTAATAAAGAAGAGGGAATATTTAAAAATAAGTTATATCCGAATACTGTATTCTGAATATAAAGTGTTTTCTTTCGGAGGATTTTATTTGAGCCTTAAATCAAGCCAGCCTGTAGAGGGCACATTGACTAGAGCACATTATTGTCCTCATTTTAACCTCCATGAGGTTAAGTGACCCAGATCCACATAGCCAGTAAGAGTCAATAATATATCTCAAACTCTGGACTTCTGATTTTTGAACCACTGTCTTTTTCGATGTTCAACACTGACTCAGCATTTTTCAGTGCCCTGTGCCTTTCTGATCCAAGGGCCTGTAATTGTCTGACTGATACTTGAATCTGGTCAGTTGTTTGTTTGTTTGTTTTTTTAATATTTTTTTATTGTACTTTAGATGAAGGTTTACAAAACAAATACTTTCTTATTAAACAGTCAGTACACACATTGTTTTATGACATTGGTTAACAATCCCACGACATGTCAACACTCTCCCTTCTCAACCTTAGAGGACCTTTTTTTGGTGAAAATATAGATAGCCAAAGATACACCATTTCAAAAATTTCTACATGTACAATTCAGTGACATGGATTACATTCTTCCAGTTGTGCTGCTATTCTCACTACCCTTTTCCAAATTATTCCATCACCATTATCTTCAACTCACTGCCCCCTAGGCTTCCCATCAAACCTTTTGAGTTGCTGTTGTCAATTTGATCTTACATAG